GTGTTGGTATTGGGTGGTGTGTTGGGGGGTGTTTTTTGACATACAGAGGGATGGTCCGAGTCCTTCGTCGTTTTATCTCACCAGTTTTCCACACGAGCTATCTCATATCTGGCCTTCATATATATATATAGTAGTACTAGCAGGCTTGGAATATTTACTTCTGTATAATCGGAAGCTACGCACTATACAGTAGATTTGTGTAATACGTATCCTGTGACAGTGACTGCAGTCAGTTCAAGCTTTGATGGGAAGACCAGCATCACTTCTTGGCGGAGGGGGCAGGTATTTCGAGGTATTAAAATAAAATCAAACCTGAGTGTGAAAGTGAGTGCTGAAATAGGATTATTATTAAAAACTAATATTAATTATTATTATTAATTTATGATATTCGTTAGCTATAATATGAATGGTAGATGACAATTATAAAACGCCTAATCCGCAACTGAAAGTGTACCCAAATTTATTGACAATAATTTTCATGGATATGGATATGGATGGCAGGAAATGCAATGTCGTAAGAATTTTGTTGCTGTAGAATAATGGCACTATACCTACTTCAAACATAGAAGAAACGTGGACGAAATCTTAAACGATCACTTTTCATCTGCATTCACCATGAGAAAGCTTAGCTAACATAATCGATCTGGGACTTGGCAGCACAGCCACTGCTTAGCCCGTGGTTCTCCTATCAGACCGTTAACACTCATGTATATATAGGGTACGACATTCCTTCAAAACGGAAGCTTTTTCGCGACATCGGGGCGCGGGGCATTTCTTAATTGCTTAATCGGCTTGCCAGCTGTGTTTACTTTTTACAATTCCAACACAGTCATGCTGTGTTTTCACAGCGTGATGTATATATGCCTCTGAACTGATCGAGTTTACCTGTGTATTGGGGCGGCTTGATGTGTAATTGACTCCAATGGGTACAACCCCTCCTACAGGCCCTGTCCTATCCTGCTCCGGCATCTATAAACAACATGCCTTCTGAACATCCTGGGGAGAACCCTGCAAAGGTTATCCCCCCCCCCCATTGGCACGTGTTACTTGACGTGGTTTTTTTTATGTCGACAATTAGATGCCGTGCTCGTGCTACGTTCTGGGGACCACTTTCTCCCTGAATGTGAGAAATGTGTTACTGGTCAGGCGACAATAAGTGTCCATGGATTTGTGGATTAGTTGTAGACTGACCCCAGTTAAGTCCTTGAGGGATCAACATGCAACCAGAGTCTTCTGGAGTCAGTTGTAAACCCTCACTGACTAACCCAATTTCCGTCCGTCTGCTTGCCATGCGTGCATTTACACGCGAATCCATCTGTCTGTTGGTGTGATGCTGATTTCATGGGCCCATGTCTGTTTTGTGAATGGAATGTGTGAGTGAAGAGAGAAGGGGGCTGGGAGTGTGAGCTGTAGTATGTAGCTATTATCGTATTCATCAGTATCAGTGGCTAGAATCCCCCCACCCAGGTTTGAACTGTGTAAATCTGTTGTTCTCATGGCTTGACTTCGAAATTCCGTGAGAGACCACCAGGGGCTCTCATGATCTTGCGAAATCAAGGTCAATTCTCAACGACCTTGGAGTCAGTGTATCCTTCCTATCAAAACTCAGTGTTACACATAATAATGATAATACCGTGCTATTTTCGAAGATGGCTGAGTCTGTGTGAATAAGGTCTCTAGATCTATTGCCGAGAAATCCTATTGTGAGTGGCGTATGGTTTGGACTCGCTCCTATTTGTCGTACGTGCTTCTTGTATGAAAGACAAGCGAAAGCAAGTAGAAAAATGCTGAGTGCTGCTTGGTGGGGGGTGGGGAGGAGGTCATGTAGTGACCCGTGCAACCGTTACTGTTGGTTAAAAACATTGATGGAATTCGTTTCCAACTGTACTACGTCGGGTGGCATAAAATTTAGCTGAAAGGGGCCCTGATGCGTTACTATTGGTTTGTTTTTGTTAGGTCAGAAGTTTCAAAGTGGCTCATGTTTTTATAAATTTTATAAAAAAGGGCACACATGACAAAAGAAGCCGTACGGGTGAAATGAGGAAGAAGTGAGGTCACTGATCCCATTGGGATATATTTTTGGTGATCATTTTTGGGTTGTTGCTCCTTTGGAAAAAGTTCAAAGATTTAAAGTCAAAAATAATTTTTGTAGTTTTTACAAACAAGGAAGGAACCTGACAAATGAAGCCACAAATGTGCAAAAAAGAAAAGAAAATTTCAGTCTCTGTTTACTAATTTAATATTTTTCTATTTTACATTACTTTTATTTATGAACTGTATAATGCATCACTTTTGGATTTTCTAATAGTCCAATTAAAATAGACAGTCAAATTAATTATGTTTAAACAAACTCTGAACAGCTCAATTATCAGCTCCAGTACTGTGTTATCGCCTGTTGTGATTGACAGACCGTACTTTGCCTAGTATACGATTGCGGTGTATTACAATTTTACACTCATATTTTTACACACAAAGCTTTATCATCTCGATTTAGCATCTGCCTGAGTCACTTTGTTGTATCAAATACACTTATCTAACTGTGTGGCTGCAAACATGAATGATGATTAATAACCACAGATAACCTCACACCGTGTTCTCAGCTGCGGTGCTTATCGTGTAGCGTTTACTAGTCACTCGACCTACATCCAGATTTCATGTAATCATGGCTGGATAAACACTCCACACTTATCGCATCTCACAATATTGTATTGACACTTCCAGAATCGTTATAGGCACACTGATGACATCTGAAATCCCAGGACCGTATAACGCAACATCGCTTTGTCATCAGACAGCAGCCGAGAGACCACTGAGCAGACGGCCACACAACACAGACCACCACTGCGCAGACACTAGCTAAGTGTAGAGAAACACATGTAAAGGTGGGCAAGGTTAGCAGGCAAAAAAGCTGTACAGCTTGGACCTCACTAATCCGGCATCTGCTCGTCCGGCAGCTTCGTTGATTCGAGACAATGATTTGAATCTTGCGGTCATTAGTTTGCATGAGCGCCACTTGGCCAGCTGCGATGACACCGCCAATCTCCAAAAAACGTGCAAAGAAAAATACGCCTTCGATTTTGGAGGTTGGCGGTGTCATCGCAGCTGGCCAAGTGGCGCTCATGCAAAAACCATATCATACCGATACAACTTCCATATATAGGCATATACCTAGCCAAGGCTTAGGCCTACTTGTCCTTTTCATGACAAAGTACCTTGTCACAAAGAGGACAAGTAGGCCTAAGCCTCGGCTAGGTTTATGCCTATATGCAAGTTATATCGGTATGAGTAACAGTACAGTAAATGCGCCATTTTCTCTTTTTTGCCCTAAGCTTCTCTGGTTAGGAATATCCGCTAATCCGGCAACTGTCTAGTTCCAAACTTGTTAGATAGTGAGGTCCAACCTGTACCGAAAGTGAGAATTTTGAACAATCTTCCCAATAGTTCTCATATTTTCCTGACTATTGCAATACTTACTGGTTTTGCTTGTGTAACAGCAAGTGTCTACAGTAAGGCTAACATGTCTTGGAACAATTGTACCCAGTTGCTTTCACCAAAATCTGCAACGGTTGATATTTATTTTTATCAGTATGTTGGTGTTATAAGACCAGGAGTTTATAATATAGTCTATAATTATTATACACTCCTGATAAGACAAGTTAGCCTTACTGTGGAATCGTGCTGTTAACACAGCAATACCAGGAAGTATCACAACTGTTGGGAAAATATTTGAAATTCTGCGAAAAGAAGTATTTTTTAGGTAGAAACATTGTTTTCTTTGCCCTCAAGCATTTTTAGCTAATAAGGGAGAAATTATTGCATTATTTAAAATACAAAGTTTGTTATTATGAATATGGAATTTTACCCCAAGGCTCTAGTCATTACACCAACAAATTTTCCAATATTAAAAAAACCCCATTTTAACAGCTACTTGAGAGAGGAAAAAACAGGTACTGATACGGTTAGCCAATGTATGCTATTTTTCTTTGTGTCAACATAGGGGGAAACATGGCGTTCATAATTTCAAAACACAAAAAATTATGATTACAAGTGGTTTCTTTAACAGTTATTGTGGTATTTCTTCCCTGGTTGGCAGGTACACAATTCCACGTTGACTAACGCCAAACTACAGGTAAACTATATAGATAAACAACGAACACGGCAGGTTCAGCCGTGATGAACAGCACATAGACTGACACCGGGTTGGATAGCACTGCAGATGTGATGCTGACGATGATACAACTAGCATAAGGTACCAAATCAAATTTTTCTTGTTAGGGAGTTTTCCTTGTCTTTTTAATATTTTGCAGGACATGTCTAATCTATTGTAATATGTTCCTTGCATACTTTCCAATTTTTCTGTTGTCATGAGCTGCCTTCATTTTGTTTGCCACTAAAAGCACAGCCACCTCTCGTGTGTAGCGCTTAAACCATTATTAAAAGGTACATTAAAACGTTGAAGGCTTTCACGTGCCTTTATCTTTATTCCACACTGCTTCGTGAATATCTATAGTTATTACACCTAGCTGATTAATAGTTTATCATACACACACGGCACCCAAGGATGAATAGATCTTACGTGGTTACTATATGTTGCCATCAGAGGAGGAACACTAGTCACTAAGCACCGTTTCGGAGTATTTATGAGGCTGATTATTAATTGTTTGTGTCAGGAGAAGGGGTCATGTGCACAGTGGACGTGCATCCTGCATTTAAAGTATAATGATTATATCATTTTAAGTGCGCATTGAGTAACCAAGTTCAGTTAATTTATTTAACAAACTAGTTACTACTATTTTTTAGTCAGTTTAAACTGGTATGACTTCGTTAATTCATGACAAAAATGGTCAGTATACTTTTGAATTTTCTTTGTTGATAGATAGTTGATTATTTTATATTTTTAGTTTTGCTTCTTCTTGGCAATTTATGAAAGTATATTTATTGATTTGTTTACTATATTAAGTTTAGGGTTAAGTTGATGTACCTCCTATTCTGCCTTTCTGTTTGGTGTAAACAATAATTCAAATTTCACAGAAGTTAAAAAATATTGGCTAGTTAAAAACATTGGCAAATTTTCAAGGATGTATTCAGTGCTGTTGGTGTTTCTTTTTATGTGAAAAAATGTAAGAAGAAATCGATCTTAAAAACTTCAATTGGACCAAAAATAATTTCCCATTTAATAAGCCTCACATAACTAAAATTACACAGTAATATTAACTGCTGCTTCTCGTTTCGTTGCCACGACGATGACAGATGAGGCTGGCACGATGTCGCTGAATCGTCTGCGCGCGTCCAGCGGCACGTACAATGTGCGGGAGTCCGAGCTCGCGCGGCAGTACCTGCGACCTGAGCGCATGCTCCGCTGCGTCGTCTGCTTCCTCGACGACACACAGCAGACGTTCGAGCTCGAGGTGAGATGCCGGTGCAAGGAGAGAGTAGTTGTATGAGGGGCAGGTGGAGGAGGAGGGTAGGGAGGTACTGGTTGCTGCAGGGGGAGGTAGTGGTGAGAGGAGGTAGGTGGTGGTGGGAGGAGGGGGAAGGTGGTGGGAGGTGGTAGGGAACTGGGAGAAGGAGGGTAGGGAGGAACTGGCTGGGAAAAACAAGTAGTCTAAAGAGGAGATTAAATGAGAACGAATGCTATGACAGTAGGTCAATGTAGCAGGGTGGAGGCAGAATTATGTGTGAGGTGAGGTGTAAAAAGAACTGCTTATATTTAGGAGAGGAGGGAGGACTGCGCTTATATTACCCCTATGTTAGTAGTACGTGCAAGAGAGCAGACACGTAGGCCAGCAAATTACTAACGTGTAGTTTTTTACGTGCCATTAACAGTGTTTTTCATCTGTCTGAAATACGTAATCCTCTTCTCTCGTCTTTTTCTCGGTGCAGAGAAAAGCAAAGGGCCACGCTTTGCTAGACCAAGCCTTTCAACATCTGGATCTCATTGAGAAAGACTACTTTGGCCTGCAGTATGCCGAGGCATCGGGGCCAGCCGGCCTGGTAGGCTTAACGCTACTTTACACCTGTAGTGCATGGTTTCATGGTCCATAGCTGGTGCAGCTTCAGTGCTGTCTGGCTTGTGGAAATGTAGAGGCGATAAGCTTGCCTGGCTTTTCAGCTTTCTCACGTGTGTAAATCAAAGTACAAGTGTGAACCCACTACTGCACTTTGTTGACAATAATATTTAGTGTAGCCGGCAGTATTAGAAAGCAGACATCAGATCTAGCATGCCATGGCAAGTAGTGAAGCAGCACAGCCCTGCTAGATGTGTAAGGGGGATTGGGAAATTCATGTCTACTTGGCAATAGAAAGATATTTTGCTTAAATTAGTATTAGTTTATATTTATAGGTAATTATAGTTATAATTAATTAAATTATAATTTATTATTAACCAACATAGAGTAGGGGAATTGAAAGAAAGGGTTAGACAATAGGAATCAGGGGTGTATCCAGGATTTTTTCTGGCGTAGGGCGTCAGTAATCATAATCTTTTCTGGGACCTGTTTGCACAATTAAATGAGCAGACCAAGATGTGATTAACATATGTCAATACAATGAGGGCATGTACAGCGATTTTTGTACCGAGGGGGGGGGGCGGTATGGGTCTTAACCAAACCGAACGTTGTGGGAGCACGCGAAGGGGGGGTCTGGGTGGGCCCTCCCCCAGAAAAATTTTGGAATTAGACCTCTTAGATGCGTTTATTCTGCGCCGAGCAGAGGGGTCCGCGACCCCCTCGGACCCCCCCTGTACAGCGCCGCCTGACAATTTAATTAAAACAGCCCCCTAAAAATTGTTTAAACAAAAATTTTATTCAGTTTAAAAAAAATGTTTCTGACTCACGTTGAAAACAGTTTTATTTTAACTTTTTGTTTGATCTTGTTTGTCTTTGTCTTTAGTCAGTCTTGTGCTCTCTGTTTATGAACACAAATTTTGTTTAAAAAAAAGGCCTCAGTTTCAGAATTGCTGCGATTGCGGCATTAGCATTTACGATCACGCCAATGGCCAATGTCTTTGGCACCATGATGCGCTGGTACCTCGAATCCTTTTTCATTTATGTTCATTGTAAAAAGGCCGCTCAAAAAGAATGCTGTCTTTCGGAAAAAAAAGTGGACCTTTAAAATTTTGGGGGGTCGTACGACCCTCACACCTCCCCCCTTGGCCATTGACACCCATGGAATAGACATCCATTTATGATGAAGCACTCTCACAAAATGTGCATACTATTGCTTAATTTACTGACTATGCCGACTACTGTATTAGTCACTTTAGTCATAACCCGCTATTGCACCTTCTGTCATCTTTAAGAATGACAGCCTGTAACGACTGCCTTGTTTATGTCAATCAATGACCTACGGCTGTGGATAAAAATTAACAGCATTTTAAGGTTCAGTCCGTTGGTTTAGTTATAGGGTGTGCGCGTTGCAGGTTCGTAACCAGGCTTAAAGATTGAACTTCTGGTTCTAAACCATACCCTAGGTACACCCTATACTCTCAACCAAACAAAAACCATAACGTTTAACCATAAATCGTAACTTTATAATGAGCCAATGGTATATGCCGTTGCTCTGTGTCTTGTAGAGTAAACCCACTTGCATGGTAAAGGCGCGTTTGCGAGTGGCATTGAATGTAAGTTCATCAACAAATTTCAACGCTCTCTCTTCCATGTTTCTCTCACTCTCTGCAGCGATGGCTCTGCATGAACAGAGAAAATCGGCAAGCAGTTCCGAAGTAAGTGGGAAACTCCGGCGTGCACTTATTTGTCTTGTCATCTATATGGCCAGAATGGGAGAGCATGCAAGCTTTTATTTCTCACTCTTATAAATCATCTAGATACTGCATGCCATATTGTTCTGGCGGTCTGCCTTTAATGCTGATGTGTTTGTTCAGTTAGTTAATTGGCCACAAAATTAGCCATTCCTCAGTCCCTCCGAAGTTCGCGTTAAAGCTAAAGCATAATCACGTAAACATTTTTATAACATCAATATTTCATCTCTCGGCATATTAATAATCGCAGTGCTACAGCTGTCGGCTCATCCGATTACAAAGCTGATAGGCTTTGATAAAGCGCATCAGTTCACGATCATTAGGCCACGCAGCCCGCCTTTCAAATCGTTAGATTTTTACTGGATCTGACTATTGCTCTTCGGAAAGATACCAAATAACACATTTTTTTATAAAATACCTAAAGCGATAAGTAATATTATGGTAAAAAACTATTGTTATTGTTTTTGTACTTGAAAAAATATCACGTTTGGAGTTCACATAAGAAAGTATAATGACCGGACGCGGTAAGCCTGCGAGCTGGCGCGTCCGGTAACCAGGACAGGTAGCCACGCGCCATATAATAATACCTTATATGAATCGCATCGACAAAATTTTATGTAAGATAGTGTGTGTAAGAGCCCGTGCATCGCGTTGCTGCTGGTGTTCTGTCTTCCATGTGCTTTAGCATGCTGGTGCGCGCGTGTGCTGTGCGTTGCGTTTGTTTGCCCATTGTGCATGCGAATATGCACGTGGAGGACCGTACGTGTACATTGCCAGTGATGCGTGAATACTGTCTTTCCGATTCATCTGGCGTTCAACAGTTTCCAAGTCGTATCACTCTATTGTTTATGCAATGTCGATTGTCCACTGTGCCTATTGTATTATGCAAGTCTGTAGCACTCGTGCAGCTGCTTGCTTTATGCGTTTTACCATGCTGGCGGACGCGCATATCTGGGTTTTAACTTCAGAGTCAAGTTCATATGTGTCAGACCCGCAGTAAGCTGCAGGAAGAGTATTACGCAGGTACGGTCACAGGCTCCCTCAAGGTTTACCGTAGTGGATCTCAACTTGATCACAACCGCATTGCTCACGGACAGTACGATTTGCCAGCGTAACAATATTGTTTTTTGGGGGGTACTTGTTGATGAGTAACAAGTGCAGAATTAATTAGGAGAGTATTTTATTTTAGAAATCTATTCTAGCTGTAGTCACCACATAGCTCTTAACATAAAGTTTTCCTGCTGAGAGTTGTGCGAGTCCCACCTCAATAATATTGGCTGCCCTCTTGCAACAAGGCCAGCTTTATCAGGAGCATATTAGGAGATTAGAGTACATAAGGCAACAGCAGCCTAAAAATTACTTTTTTTTTACGAGAGCTCTTATTTTGATTTTGTATTGAAAAACGCAGCTCTCGTGAATTTTTTCTTACCGGGAGCTCTATTTAGGCTTTGGCCAGAGCCTACATTTTTCATAGGCACTGATTTCGTTAAAATTCGATAAATTTTGATGCACTGACTCTTAATTAATATTCATTCATCAGCATTCAGCACTCAGCACCAGTATCAACTATCGAGTGTTATAGACAATCCTGTCAACAAATTACATTCGATCACATTTTTATTTATTCTCATTTCACGCGACTAAGAAACACAATCCATTCTTATTCAATTTCATTCACACAAAAACAGACATGCACTACACAGTACACGATAGTCACGTAACATGACAAAGACCAGGAAATCAAGAATTATAATCATGGTAATGATGGTATGGTTATTTTCAAGTTTCTTTTTTTTACTTCATTTCTTTTCATCTTTCAACTTTATTTTTACATCGACTGAGCAAGTTCAGAACTTCAGAGAACATTGACTGAGCAAGTTCAGAACTTCAGAGAGAGTTTTTAGTTACTTTGAGTATTTAAAAAAAGACTTGTACTGGAATCTCTATATGCCGGGAGCTTCTGGGTAAGGTTTTACTTTCGTTTTTCTCCTCCCCAGTCCACGGTACCCCCATGCATAGATCAATGCTGCCGCACATCCGCAAAGTTACAAGTGCCTAGAATCTTTTTAAGTATATACAGTTTACATTGCTTCTAGATATCTAACTGAATAAAAATAGTTCACTTTCTACAAATCAGTGACGAATTCAGTTAACAGCTTTGGTTACGCGCGTGTCTGGGGTCACTGGTCGTGCCCTCACTCCCCACGATAATTAACCCCCGAGATATAAAAACTTATTGTTAATGCCCGAGCAAAAATTTGGTGGGCTCGGGTCTCCGGGGCCGGAACTAATTTCTAACGCTGCCAGCGGCACGGGAGCGATTTTTTCTCATATCTTCCAAAATTTTCGCTCTCGTAATTGTTGTTACCAGAGCGCTTTGATAGCTGACGGGAGCGAAATCGCTCGCCGCTCCCGTGTATTTTTTTCGCTGGCCAACAGCCTTGTCTCACAAAACAACCCCTGCAGAATTTAAAGCTGTGCACGTGATGAGGTTTTATATTCTCCACTAGAAGCCAGAAAGAAAATCCATTGTCTTGCAGAAAACAAAGCGATCTAGTTGCCAATATTCTACAAGCTCCTATTGCTACAAGCTCCTATTATCTATTAAGGTCTATGCAATAACCATTATTCCTTATATCATTACGTGTTGTATGGCAAGGGGGCATATAGGCTTTCTTATAATATTACGTCTGGTGCTTAACTCAGGCTGCAGTGTAGAGGGCAAAACTAGCACATGTTTAAGCATTAGCACACAAAGGACGATGCGCCCACCCTGACACAAAGGTACACCACCTAGCGCAGAAGTTTTAGTGGTCCGTTACTGAGACCACGTGCAATAAAACCCACAATACGTGTAGGTACTTTAGCAGATGTGTGACGAAATTACCCAGTGCAAAAGTAATATTGTAGTAAATGACCGAATGGCTAAGCCACTACAGGCTTGATCACAGATGGAGCACATACTAGGACTAAATAATCGGGTCAGACTGAAGAATGCAATAATAACAAATCTGGCAGTAGATATCTACAGTTAAAGTTATTCATCTGTCACCAATTGATGATTGGTAAATTGTTAGACATAGGTTTGTAGTTATTCATTGGTTTCGATGTATTAAAGGGACAGTAGCCTCTAGGATTTTACTGCATACAACTGTACTTACTGTATAACAAATCATCTATACCCACACGTAATTGTTACCAGATACCTAATTTAATTGTTATAATTATTTACACATCAACGCTACGAAATTTGAACGGTCCCCCCCCCTGCATACACCCATGGAATAGACATCCATTTATGATGAAGCACTCTCACAAAATGTGCATACTATTGTTAATTTACTACTATGCGACTACTGTATAGTCACTTTAGTCATACCCCTATTGCACTTCTGTCATCTATAGAATGACAGCCTGTAACGACTGCCTGTAGTCAATCAATGACCTACGGCTGTGATAAAATTAACAGCATTTAAGGTCAGTCGGTTGGTTTAGTTATAGGGTGTGGGTTGAGGTTCGTAACCAGGTTAAGATTGAACTCGTGGTTCTAACCATACCCCTAACGGTAACCCTAACTCTCAACCAAACCAAAAACCATAACGTTAACCATAATCGTAACTTTATAATGAGCAATGGTTATGGTGCTCTGTGTTGTAGAAGTAAACCACTTGATTGGTAAGCGCGTTTGCGAGTGCTTGAATGTATTCATCACAATTCAACGCTCTCTCTTCCATGTTTCTCTCTCTCTCTGCAGCGATGGCTCGATGCAACCAAGAAAATCGGCAAGCAAGTTCGAAGTAAGTGGAAACTGCGTGCACTTATTTGTTCTTTGTCATCTTATGGCAGAATGGGAGCATGCAAGTTTTATTTGTCATCTTATAAATCATCTGATAACTGATGCATATTGTCGGGGTCTGCTTTAATGTGATGCTGTTTGTCATAGTTATTGGCACAAAATTAGCATTCTCATCGCTACCGAGTGCGTAAAGCATAAGCATAATCACGTAAACATTTTTATAACATAATATTTCTCCCTCGGCATATAATAATCGCAGTGCCTACGCGTCCGGTCATCCATTACAAAGCTGATAGGCTTGATAAGCTGATAGTCACGATTAGGCCACGCCCCCTTTCAAATCGTTGATTTTACTGGATCTACTATTGCTTCGAAAGATACAATAACACATTTTTTTGATAAAATACCTAAAGGTAAGTAATATTATGGTAAAAACTTATTGTTTATTGTTTTTTACTGAAAAAATATAGTTGGGTTCACATAAGAAATATATGACCGGACGCGTAGCCTGGAGCTGGGCGTCCGGTAACCAGACAGGTAGCCACGGCCTATAATAATATATATGTAAATGCATACATAAATTTTATGTAAGTATGTGTGTGAAGTGCGTGCATGCGTGTGTGCGTGGGTCTGTTGTCCATGTGTACATGCGTGCGCGCGTGTGTGCGTGCGTTTGTTGCCCATGTGTGCATGCATATGCACGTGAGGACGTACGTGTACATGCAGTGTGCGTAAACTGTCTTTCCATTCACTGGCGTTCAACAGTTCAAGTCGTATCACTGCTATTGTTTATGCAAGTCGTGTCACTGTGCTATTGTTTATGCAAGTCCTGTAGCACTGTGAGCTGTTGTTTATGCGTTTTACAGCTGCGGAGCCATACTGGTTTTACTTCAGAGTCAAGTTCTATGTGTCAGACCCGAGTAAGCTGCAGGAAGAGTATACGAGGTAGGTACAGGCTCCCTAAGGTTTACCCGTAAGTGGAGTCTCAACTTGATCACAACCGCACTTGCTCACGAAGTCGATTTGCCAGGTTAACAATTATTTTTTGGGGGTAACTTGTATGAGTAACATGTGAGTAATAGAGAGTATTTTATTAGAAATCTATTTAGTGTAGTACCACATAGTCTTAAATAAAGGTTTCCTGCTGAGAGTTGTGAGTCCCACCTCAATAATATTGGCTGCCCTCTTGAACAAGGCAGTTTATCAGGAGCATTAGGAGATTAGAGTACATAAGGCCAACAGCAGCCTAAAAATTACTTTTTTTTTACGAGAGCTCTTTTTTGATTTTGTATGAAAAAAAGAGCTCTCGTAATTTTTTTTACGGGAGCTATTTTAGGCTTGGCCAGAGCTACTTTTTCATAGCATGATTTTGTTAAAATTTTCATAATTTTGATGCACTGACTCTAATATCATTCATCAGCACTCAGCACCAGTATCAACTATCAGTGTTAAGAAATCGTCAAACAAATTACATTCGATCACATTTTTTTATCTCATTTCACTCGACTAAAGAAACAATCACATTCTTATTCAATTTCATTCACACAGACAGACATGCACTACACAGTACACATAGTCAGCGTAACATGACAAAGACTCAGGAATCAATAATTATAATCATGGTAATTGATGTATGGTTATTTTCAAGTTTCTTTTTCTTTATCTTCATTTCTTTCATCTTTCAACTTTATTTTTACATCGACTGAGCAAGTTCAGAACTTCAGAGAGAGTTTTTAGTTACTTTGAGTATTTAAAAAAAACTTACTGGAATCTCTCTTATGCCGCGGAGCTTTGCTGGTGAAGGTTTACTTTCTGTTTTTCTGGGCCTCCCCAGTCCACTGGTACCCCATGCATAGCATCAAATGCTGTCGCATTAATCCGCGCAAAGGTTATCAAGGTGCCTAGAATCTTTTTTAAGTATATACAGTTTACATTGCTTCTAATATCTAAACTGCAATAAAAATAGTTCACTTTGCTCTACAAATCAGTGACGAATTCAGTTAACAGCTTTGCGGTACGGCGCGTGTCTGGGTCACTGTCGTGTCCTCCCACTCCTCACGATAATTAAGCTCCCGAAGATATAAAAGACTTATTGTTATATGCCCGAGCAAAAGTTGTGTGGGCTCGGGTCTCGGGCCGAGAACTAAATTTCTAACGCTTGCCAGCGGCACCGGGAGCGATTTTTTCATATCTTCCAAAATTTTCGCTCTCGTATATTGCTTGTACCAGAGCGCTGTGATAACTGACGGCCGAGCCGAAATCGCTGCGCCGCTCCCTGTATTTTTCTTCGCTGTCAACACGCCTGTCTCACAAAACAAACCCGCATGCAGAATTTCAAAGCTGTTGCACGTATGAAGGTTATATTCTCATGAGAAAGCAGAAAGAAAATCCATTGTCTTGCAGAAACAAAGCCGATCTGTGCCAAGTATTCTACAAGCTTCTATTGCTACAAGCCTCCTATTATCTTATTAAGGTCAGTGAATAACCAGTTATATCCTTATGATCACCTTACGTGTTGATAATGCCAAGGAGGGCCATATAGGCTTTCTAATATAATATTCACGTCTGGTGCTTAACTCAGGCTGCAGTGTAGAGGGCAAAACTAGCACATGTTTTAAGCGTTAGCACACAAAGGACGGATGCGCCCACCCTGAACACAAAGATACACCACCTAGCGCAGAAGTTTTAGTGGTCCGCTTACTGAGCCACGTTGCAATAAAACCCACAATACGGATGTAGGGTACTTTAGACAGATGTGTGACGAAATTACCCAGTGCAAAAGTAAATTGTAGATAAATGCCGAATGGCTACAGCCACACAGGCTTCGATCACAGACTGGCGCAGCACATACTAGTGACTAAATAAGCGGCCGTCAGACTGAAGAATGCCCAATATAACAAATCTGGCAAGTAGATATCTACAGTTAAAGTTATTCATCTGTCACAATTGAGATGGTAAATTGTTAAGGAACATAGGTTTGTAAGTATTCCATTGCGTTTCGATGTATAAGAGGACAGTAGCCTTCTAGGATTTTCACTGCCATACAACTGGTACTTACTGTATAACAAATCAATCATATAACCCACACGCCAATGGTTACCAGATACCTAATTTAATTGTTATAATTTTTACACATCAACGCTACGAAATTTTGAACGGTGCCATGACACCCGCGACACGTGCGTGCCACCCCGGAAAAAGTTGCGTATTGACAATTTATGTTGGCAGGTACTGACGAGGCTAATACAACAAGTGCAATTATATTTATACCTAAATGCTATTTAACCGAACGATATGTATTTTTAGCGGCAAGATTTATCCATATTAAAACTGAAACCATATATGTCGTTTATAGAGATATACAATCTTTTGTGCTTTTAATGAATAAATAAGAACACCCTCGGTCTGTAGCCCTTGGCTGGAAAGCTGTTTTTTGCCGCAACTTATCAGATCGTGCGCTTTGGTCAAGTGGCGCCACCGTCGGTGTAATCAAACCGTAGTCAGTTACGTTTTAAACATTTATTTAATAATATTTTTAATGTGATTGAACCATGAAACTTTTCATGTAGCGTAATTATAACCTAAATTAGCTGAAAATAACTCTAGGACCTAGAGTAAACTCTCCCTTTAAAGAACTTATAATACGAGGTAAAGGGGAATTTTCAGTGTCGCATAAATATATTAGCTATAATTAACATGATTTAGGTAAGGTAAAATTATAATATTTTTGTGACATAGATACTTTGAAAGCTCTTGGCACATGCAAACTAAAATTGTTTATGAAATTGTAGAATCAAATCTTAAATAGTGATTTTGCAGTATAAATTCGCTAGAGTTTAACGCAAAAATGCTCACCAGGTGGCAGCAGTAGCATGTGTTATAGCGTTGCATCACTGGCACTCGGTTTTGTCGCTTTTAGGATTTGCCGTCGATTTGTCAATACAAATTATATTCATGTTTCGTATGTGCACGTTAGAGTTCTTATGTGCACGCTAAAGTTTGTAAATCTGAACAGGATAAATTTATGTGCTGATGGCCACAGATTTTGTTGATTTTGATTTGATAGCATTGCCTTTGGTGATTTCCTTGACAATAACGCGATTACTTCAGGTGTATAATTTAAGATGATTATGATATAAAAAAAAGTAGGCATAGACGTTAGGCTTAGATCTAGTACTATAGCCAGTGTACAGTTGCCTGCGGCCTGCGCCTTGCGGCAACTGTACGCGGGCTATAGTACTAGAGCTACATTAGGCTTAGCAAATTGGTGTGCATTAATGTCAATAGAATTGATTAATTAAGATGAAATGGTTTTAAATTATGGGGAAATTTTCATTTCTCAATGAAACTAAATGGGTTGGGTGTGCATGAGTATAATGTGTGCGTGCATGCGTGTGCGTGTGCGTGTGCGTGCGTGCGTGCGTGCGTGCGTGCGTGCATGCGTATGTGTGTGTGTGTGCGTGTGTGCGTGCGTGCGTGCGTGCGTGCGTGCGTGCGTGCATGCATGCGTGTGTGTACGTGCGTGCACGTATGTGTAGGGTCGACCTGCACAGCGGCAGGCAAAGTGAGCAGAGGCCGGACTGGGCATTGGCAAAAAATTATGGTATGTGTGCGTATATGCATGCGCTTGCGTGTGCGTGTGTGAGTGTGTGTGCATGTGCGAGTGTATGTTTGTGAATGCCTTCATTGGCAGTGTAGTCTGCCCATGGCTAAACTTCAGTAGCAAGTCCTCACAAGCAGCTGAACCGCTCGCGAGTGTCTATGTAGCAGTATGGAAATGTGCCTTTACGTATCCAACAGTGAAGTCACAGGTAGGAGAGTATTCTCCTGTGTTAAGGGGGAGAGACGGGGTAGCACAGGCTAACACTGCAGATGAAATCGTAGTTGTTGCTATAAGTAATGCTTACTTACAAGTGCTTGTGCGAGTTTGTTCGTAGCGATTTTATGGGATATTTTAATTCAATTTAGCACATCCTCAATCGCAAGGCATTATTTAATTATATTTCAATGTTTGCGTAGTGTGAACTTCCGTAAATGTTGATGGAACGAGTAGGGAAGTGGTTTGGCATTACGTCGATGGTTGATGCTGGTTTTGTAAGTGTTGAAGGCAGTGGTTGGTTAATGTGGACATTTAATGTGGTGAGAATCAGACGGAGGTGGTGTGGGGTAGGGAGAGGTGGTGTGATAGGGTGGTGTGGGGTAGGGAGAGGTGGTACGTACACTAGAGTGGTGTGGGGCGGGGAGAGGTGGTGTGATAGGGTGGTGTGGGGTGGGGAGAGGTGGTATGATAGGGTGGTGTGGGGTGGGGAGAGGTGGTATGATAGGGTGGTGTGGGGAGAGGTGGTATGATAGGGTGGTGTGGGGAGAGGTGGTATGATAGGGTGGTGTGGGGTGGGGAGAGGTGGTATGATAGGGTGGTGTGGGGTGGGGAGAGGTGGTATGATAGGGTGGTGTGGGGTGGGGAGAGGTGGTATGATAGGGTGGTGTGGGGTGGGGAGAGGTGGTATGATAGGGTGGTGGGGGGTGGGGAGAGGTGGTATGAGAGGGGGGTGTGGGGTGGGGAGAGGTGGTATGATTGGATATGATAGATGGTGTGGGGAGATGGTGTATGATAGGGTGGCGTGGCGGTGGGGGAGACGGTGTAATGATAGGGTGGTGTGGGTGGGGAGCGGGGAGAGGGTGGTAGTCTATGATAGGGTGGTGCCCGCCGTGGGGTGGGAGAGGGTATGATAGGATGTGTGGGGAGAAGGTGGTATGATAGGGTAGGTGTGTGATGAGTGGGGAGAAGGGTGGCTTTGTGATAGGGTGGATGGGGTGGGAGAGGTGGTATGGGGTGGTGGCGGAGAAGGTAGTATGATAGCGGTGGCTGTGGGGGTGGGGAAGAGGGTGGTATGAGTAGGCGGTGGGGCGTGTGGGGTGGGGAGAGGTAGGTTAATGATTAGAGG